AAAAAAAAAAAACCAAACAAAAAACCTCAAACCCACTCAAATTTATAGCCATATCTTTTTGTAAAATTGCTTAGGAAGGAGCTTACTAAAATGTATTCATAAACGTAGTCACTAAAAAGGAGACAAGAAGTCAATGTTTCAGTCAGCCTGAAGCAGGCAGTACAGGGATGGTTTGAGGGACACCCGGGGGAAATTTGGGGCTGACAGCTCACTAAGAGCCACCACCTGCCAGGAGGTGCTGGCTTTGGGCTGGCTTTGTGGCTCTGATGAAGCAGTCATACCTCCCCTTTGAGGTCACACCTTACACCTCTGTCTTAATTTTCTATTGCTGCCCGAATAATTGCCACCAACATAGGTATTTAAAACCACACACGTTTGTCACCCCACCGTTTCCGTGAGTTTCAGGAGTCTGGGTGTGGGTTGGCGGGGTCCTCTGCTCACCTGAGACCACTTTGAATCAAGGTGTGAGCCAGCGCTGCGGTCTCACCTGAGGCTCAGGGTCCTCTCCCCAGCTCGCTCGGTTGCTGGCAGAATTCACTTCTCTGCAGTTGTGGGACCGAGGTCCCCTTTTCCTGGCTGTTGTGGGGTGGGGGGAGTGCTCTAGGCTTCTAGACGCTGTGCCCACGGCCCCTGCGCCCACGGCCCCTGCCACGTGGCCCTCCTCTCATAACCTGGCAGCTCTGCCTCTTCCCCTCCCGCAGGAGCCGGGCTACCGCCCCTTGTCCGCTTCAAGCTTGCCTGATTAGGCCAGGCCCACCCGGGATCACCTTCCTTTTGGTTTACTCAAAGTCAGCTGAGCTGGGCACTGCGTTCTATCTGAAACACCCGTTTTGCTGTGTAAATAATGATGGGAGGGGTGTCTCATCGCAGTCCCAGGTCCTGCTCACACTCAGGGGATAGGAGTCTCCGTAGGGTTTGATCACCTAGGGGCTAAGGTGGGAATCTTGGGGGCCATCTTGGCCGTTCTGCCTGCCACAAACCCTCGACCCAGACTCACAACTTCACATCCCTCAATTCCACCCTCTCCAACCCTGGCCGAGCTTCCACTAAGCCCCGGGGGGCGCTCTGGTGACTGGGGACAAAGGAATTGTCTCTTCAGACCAGGGACGCCACCTGCTGAGCCCCGTTACGTTCTCCCACACGACCCTGCATGAGGTGCCCGGTCACCTGTCTGCCTCCCCCTCCATCCTCCACGTGACTTCAGCCTCCCTGTCCCCACCTACTGCTGTGTTTTTCTCTCCTCCGTTCTCCCGGGGTGTGCACAGCTCGATGCGGGCAGCAGGGGGCGCTGCTGGCCTTAGCTGGCGGGCGGCCGCATCCCAGGCCGGCGCTCACCTTCCTCTCCAGGTCGTCAGGACCCCGGGCTAGGAGCAGCAAGGTTGCCGGTGCTGACGCCCGAGGTCTCCTCCTCTGCCCAGGAGTCGGGCCCTGCTGTCCCAGGTGGGTGGCAGGGTTCACCGACAGGGGGCCTCACATGGCCAGGACCCTGTCAACGGATGAGTGAGCTGCCACCTCCTTCTGTTGGTTCTGAATATATAAAAATTAGTCATATATTAAACTTCAAGGAAATAAATATGACCCAAGTTGAATTTTAAAGTTAAACAAGTTATCGTGGACATATCAAGTTCTTCTAGGAAAGCTTAATTAGCATGCTCGCACGAATTTGGGATGCGGCTTTGCCTGGCTGTATAATGCTGTTTTAAGAATGCTATTAAAACATTAAACACTTGAAAAATGTTTTTGCTAGGACGTAATGAGCATTAAGACCTTCTCCTGACTTTTGTCCGTTGTCCAATTTTTTTCCTTTATCCTGATTTTTAAAAAATTAAGTCGACTTCATTGAGATGTATTACGAAATGTTCCCATTCTAAGTATGCCGTTTGATGAGTTTGGGGCAAAGGTTTAACTATGACTTTGCTGTTACTGCCATCGCTACTGTGTTGTTCCAAGATAGAGCGCATTCCGGGCCCCCCGAAAGGTTATCTCGGGCCCTTTCCAGCCACTCACCCTCTAGCCAATCACTCTGTTTTGCGAAGAACATTTTAAAACAAAGTTTCTATTTTTCTTTTCTCATCTGTCACCATACCCCCAACACAATTGTGTCTTTTTCTCTCTTTCATGCTTGTTGTTCCAGGAGCCTGGACATTCGTTGGATTAAAGCACTGAGGTGTTTATGGCTCTATTCACTAGGGCGAGAGGGACATGCTTCCCTAGCTTTCTGTGCTTTCCGTGACCTGTCACTTCTCTGCCTCTGAAACCCCTATCCACCCATCCACCAACCCACCTGCCTGTCCATCCATCCTTCCATCCATCCATCCATCCACCAACCCACCCGCCTGTCCATCCATCCATCCATTCATCCATCCATCCATCCATCCATCCATCCATCCATCCATCCATCCATCCATCCATGCACCCACCCATCCATCCAACTTTTGTGGAATGTCTACTATTAGCCGCGGGCTACCAGAATCCTGCCTCCACTTCTAACAGGGAAGACAAACGATTTCACAATTATGCTAAAAAGGCAATATATATTACCATGGGAAACTATGGGACACAATGAGAGACTCGGCAGCAGTACCTGGGAATGATTCTCAAGGGGAAGAGACATGGATGGATGGAGCTTGTAGGACAAATATCAATAAGTCGGTTAATTATTTCAGTGACATTTATTGAGCGCTGCAGCCTGGGCACGGTGTTAGCTGCTAGGCATTCAGACATGGGCCTGCTCTCTAGGGGTGCATATCGCTGTGGAGTTGGCCTGGGCTGGGCCGGGGCAGTGGGACAATATTCTAGGCAGAGAGAGCGTGGATAAAGGTGCATTGATAAGAAAGAACGTCGAGAGTTAGAAACAATGAAAATCCCAGATGACCGTAGTCTGAATGTCAGTCCGGAGGGGGTCCTGATTGGAAGAGCGAGCCATGAGCAGTGGCTAGAACCATGACTTCGCTCTCCCTCGCTGTGTAGGGTCGTCATCGAGTCTCCAATCAGACTTGCGAGAGGAAAAGAAATGCCGAATGTAGACACCGCATGTCAATCATTTGCAAATCATTTCCTTCTTTCATAAACATAGCTATGATGAAAATGACCTCTCCCGAAGAGCAGGGAGTACCGAAGAAAATGAGGCATGGGAGAATAAAATCCATGCATCTACCTGATTGCCGTGTAACTTTTTGTGAGTCACAGAGTGAGAATTTCAGATGGGAATTAAAGGCATGGTGATTGCCAGGAGTGGTGGCGTGCTTGAAAAAAATTCCCTACGTGTCCTACTTTAGAATATGAAGACCAGAAAATTGGGGCAGAAAGAATGTATTTCTTACTTTTTTTAAATTTCTTCCCAAGTAATTTTCAGGGAAATGACTTACGCAGTTTCCATCCGAATTGTTGACCCTTAGATGAATATTACTTGATAGGCACTTAACTCAGTGAGACAGTATTCCACAGGGTTCTGTAAATGTTGCGAAGTATGACATAACCTAGCTGCCGATTCATTTTTGGTCATAACATGTTCATATAGCATATTTAATCCTTTGCGCTTTAATATTTGATAAAATCTAATGACTTTGTAGCGAGTGCTGTAGGTTTCACCTAATTTATAGCTCTCTGAAAACTTCAGTCTTTTGCAGACGCCCGCTGATGCAGCATTCTGGAAATGTAAAATCCCGAATGCTTGCCAACTGCAAATCAATGCTTGTAACCTGAGTATTAACAGCTGCATGGAACACTATGCTCCTCGTTTACCACACTTCACATGGATGTGGCGTATATTTCGAGGGGACGATCTTTTCGTGAGTGGCTCCACGCTACTTACCATCAGGTCAGAGATAGTCTATCAAAACCTATTTAAGGAACACATTCGCTCGGTGGCAAAGGAGATGTTCTAGATGAGTCCACCTGTTTCGTGTCTGCCATTCTGCATTTGAATCAGCCCTCTCGTAAGCAGGGCCAAAGAAACGCCCGAGCTGTCAGCACACTCACGATTTGGGGCCTTCGTGTCCATGGGCCTGGCAACCAGCGACCGTGTGCACTGGCTGCCACACACACCTGCTGTGAAACATCTTACGAGACATCATCTCCATGAGTGAAGAGGTTCGTTGACTTGTGATGTCTACTCTAGGGTCTGTTGGCTTCACCAGCGGGGGGACCACCCACCTATACCTCCCCAGCTGTGCACGGCGACCTTCTGGGAGTTGGATTTAACTGACAACACATTTCAGCCTGCGTCTAGGGTTCTTTATGAAACAGAATCCTGGGCCTACACACTTCGCAGTCCACCTGTTATTCGCTGGGCTCCTCGCTATCTAGACAGATACTAAATGATAGTCCTCCTCCCCTCAAGGTGTTCAACCAGCCTGACTGAGATGTGGATTTTTCCAACATGTTTAAACTTCAAACATACATGGCTTTAAAATGTGTACACGCTCCTGATAAATGGCTACCCGTCAGAGAAAAAAGGAGCGTGTGATTTTCCATGGAAAAACGTCCAGCGTGACTCTCGATCAAGATGAATGTCATTTGCTAGAGTTGGGCAACTAAATGCTGAGTTAGGTGGGCCTGGCGGGCTGGCACAGGAAGCTCCCTGCCACTTGTAATGAGTCCCTAGGAAAAGGTGGCCTGGGATGCAAACAGAAGACTCATGGACAGTTTCCGAATGTAACCGGCCTTGGTTGGTCACTAAGTATCTTCCATGGACGTCTTTTCTAGCAGGAAAGAGAACTCCTCAAATTAACCACCAAAACGCTGTTGTTCAGTGGAGGTTTTTTATCATCGTGTCATTGCCCTAAGCCAAGGCAATACCCACACCTGACTTCAGTCCCATGTGTCCATTTCCCCTGCTCTAAGGAGTGTACCGTCCACGTGGTTGGCCCTCCATGAAGCACAGCAAAGAACTGGGAGTTTCTACACCCAAACGGATGAGGTAATGTGTCCTTCTGAGACCGAAAGATCTAAAGGGTTCACAGACTGATCATGAGAAATAAAAAGACAAACGGATAACGTTTCCGTAAAGAGCATAGTGTGTCGATTTATTATAGAATGCAGTTAAAAAAAATATCTTGAGGTTAGCCTCTCCAGGTTAAAAGCACTTAACTAGAAATACTTGAGTAGCTATGTGATGGTGTCTCTCTGCACCTGCTCCATCCCCACCGAGTACTGTAAACAGGGTTTCGAGAACATTCAGTCAAGACAACATTTCTTGACGCGAACAACCAAACCTATTTGCTTCTTAAAGAAAACCGTCTTCCAAATGTCCGAAGCATGCATTGTTACTTGGCATCAGGTATTTCAAAATGACAAACTTTGTTATGGTGTTTTTAAGGCCAAAATATAATACCTATTTACCAGACATACACACTACAACAACTAGAAAAAAAATTACAAATGTTCACCTAGTGTAACAGGTCCACCAGGAATTAATGGGGAAAGGCACTGCATCCCTCTCAGATCACACTTCTATCCACGTGACATGCTTTGAATTCAAATCCCGTCAAACGTCTGAACGGCGTTTGCTACAACATACGATTCACAGGTAGGTTAATACGTCTTACACTATTCTTCCACTGCCATATTTGTCACCCAAGTACACAACAGGTATGAATATATGCTATCGGCTTTATTTACAGGTTTATCTTGATGTTTTAGTGGGATAAAAAAAAAAAGAAAAAATCAACTATTTTAACCAACCATTCCCAGGAAAGGTTTTTTGGCTGTGACTCATTATAAACCACCGCACGAAAGAAAGAAATGAATCCGATGTCCCACCCCAAACACCTAAACCGAGATTTCTCACCCACTAAAGGTTGGCAGTGAAACTGCTCTTCTCTGAATTGTATAAGCGACACCCCGCCTAGGAATTTCAGATCGACTTCCTTAGCAAAAGCACAAGGTGCGCGTCGCACCGGAAGAGGATGCCGAGCGGAAGGTTGTAGTCCAGGTAGAATTTCACGTGAGTGCTGCTGTGAAGTCGTAAATCTGGAGAGGCGAGACAGTTTCCCAAAGCTTTCCCATCTTCCCACAGCATGTAAAACCACAAGGGAGTAACTCTGTGTACAAACAAACGTTAGCTTTGCAAATCAGTAATATACATGCACAAACATCAGAACATGAGGGGCAACAATGTGACGCTACGATTTCCACACGGTATTGTTGTTCTCACGACCTTTCTGCACCTGGCACTTTGTGGCTTCACGCGGTGCCTCGTCCCACTGGTAGAGAGTCCGCCCCGGAGGGCTGCTTGGAAACAGTAGGCTCTCCCCAGACCTGCCCTTGGCAAAAACAGAACCTACCAGAAAAGAACAAGTACAAAACACTATTGTTATCGGTTTTTCTTCGAGACGTTCCCTCATGTCCTCGTGGGATCACCCCGAACTCGGTGATTGGCCCAGGACATTGAACGTGGACTGGTGTGCAGTATTAGAACCAGGGGACAAAGCCTCGATCCTCTTCTGAGCGACGTGGACTGGGATTTCCACCACCGCCACCGCGGCTGCCCCTTCCACAGTCGTGACGGGCCGCCGTCACAGTAAAAGATGCCTCCCCGTGAGTGTGATCTGCGATACTCCTTCGTCCAGGTGCCAGCTCAGCTCAGGTGGATGGGTGTATACTCCGGCCTCCTGGTCTGGATGATTTTGGGCTTGGGCCTCTTCATTCTTTCCGTCTCGTCGTCGTCTTCGTTTTCCTGGTCGCTCTCACACACGTGGACCACCACGCTGGGAGTGGTGTCAGTCGCCGCGTGCAGTTCGTACTTTTCCCCTACGGAGAGAAAATGACGGCGGGGTAACTCAGGCCGGGGCCAAAGAGAGGCGAACGTTTTGTAAGAACACGAAGGGGTCTGCTCGGCCACGCTTCCGGGCACTGAGGGACACAGCCAGACACACTGCGGGCTGGTGTTTCTTTGGTGACTCATTCGGGGGGGGAAAAAAAAATACACACACACACACACACACACACATGGTCATTATCGTATATTATTCTGCTTTCAAACACTCTGAGTCTAGGCATCTGGAAGGTATGGAAGGAATGTATTTTAATTACACGTAGCATGCCCACCAGGCCTTCTAAACTACCCAGGAGACGCTCCCAGCATCGTCGGAGGGAAATCTGTTCAGGAAAGGGCGTTGTGTGAGTAAAGGCTTCGGGCAAGGGCGGCATGAGCCTGCCCCTCTGCTGAGGTGCAGGGCGCACTGTGGGGGGCGGGGAGGTCAGGCACAGAGACACAGGCGTGACCAGTTGAACCGGACGCTCCGCAAACATGTTTGACCCCAGCACCCTTTTTCATATAACAGCTCTCGACCCCCTGGAACCAGGAGTGTCCTGCTACCCTATGTCAGCCTGCGTTTCACCAGGTTCAGCCAAGTTCAAGCCACTCGGGTCCAGCAAGAATGGGGTGAGCCTTCTGTAATTGAAAAGTGGCCGCAGCGCCCTGTGGTGCTGGTCTGGCTACAGGAGGAGTCTGCATCATTTGGCTGAGGGTGGCCGTGTGGCCAGTGGCCAACGCTTGGGCTGTCAGCCCCGCCGTTTGGTACCTGGTGCGTGTGGGCGTGTCCTTTGCCTCCCTGTGCACCTCAGTCTCTAAATCTGTAAAATGGGGATGACGAAGCCATCGACCTCACGGAGCTGACTCCGACTGCATGAGCGAACGCGTGCAAAGCACTGAGTACCTGGCTCACAGAACACATGCCCGATGGGTGCCCCCTAGTCTTACTACCTTTCAACCTAGAGCCTCAATCGTTACCAGTGGAATGCTGGGAGTGGTAGATGCTAAGGATTTTAAATGGGAGCAGGAGGGTTTGCTTCAGCTGGCTCCACCCCTGGGGGATCCGGGGGTGAGTTTTCCTCTTCCCAAACCCCATTCCCACTGGAAGGGGCAGAAAGCAGGGCCTCTGCCTCCCGCTGCTTTGGACGCCCCTCTGAGCAGGAAGGCGCTTTTACTCACAAAAGAAGGTGGCTGTTCTCTCTCATGCAGGCAAGGTGAAAGAGCCTCCACTTGGGGATGGGGGAGGGGAATGGGAATTTTGGTGAGGGGTCAGATCACTCGAAACGTTGGTGGGGTGCTCTACAAATCCTACCTACCTACCGATCATCACAATCCAGGAAGCACGGGTGTGGGACTATATTTGCAAAACTTTGCAATCTTATTGGCCGCAAAGCACAGCTGAAATATGAAATATTTCCTGTTCGAGCTCATGGTTAGGTAAACGAAGGGCAACCTGATTTTACGATGTCTGTTTTCAAAAGAGTCTTCTCAAATAAGCCTTCTGCGAAGGAGTGGTAGGTTCTGGAGCGTGAAGAAGTTTCTACAGTAGCAATCCTTGCCTCTGGAGCAGTTCGACACTTGTCCCCGGTGGGGACCCCTGTTTCCACCCTTCCCCAACACCCCAGGGGACTCCAGCTCTCTCCCGCCCCCCACCCCTCGGCTTTGCTGATGCACCTTGGCCAGGGTCGGCCAGGGTCTGCCAGGAGGAGCATGCCCTTCCTCGGACGGGCCATTCCCACCTTGACCTTCACACCATGGTTAGCAGTAAGTAATGTGACTCTTGCTTTCGACCACAGAGGAAGTTTCCGTCGGCAATGTTTTCAGAAACATGATCTTTTCAATATGAAAGCTGCTGATGGTCCACGAAAATAAAACCCTCAACCCAAAGGAACATCAGATTGCGGGTCAAGGAGAAATGAGGAGCTGATGGTCTCAGCATTTATTTTACTTGCTGCACAGACAAGGCAAGAGGGGGCCTCAGACCTCTTCACCCCAAGATTCCCTCCACCTCATTGCTTACCCAAACCCTCTATCAGACAGGACAGGAACCACCAACATTTTATTGTTCCCAAAAGCCACAGATTGAGCACTGCCTATGGGCGAGGCACTGCTCACAGCTCCATGGGGCAGTTAATACTCATTTTACGGGGGAGGAGCCTGAGGCCAGAGTCCCCGTCTCCCCAGATGCTCACGGCTTCCTCCCTTCAGAGAACTGGCACCTCTCCTTCCTCTGGCAAGCTCTGCAGGTGACCACTGGACCCCTTAGGGCCAAGAGGGCTCTTCCCTCATTATGATCTATGGTCCTCCATTCCCTCCAACATTTCAAAAGGGCAGGCGGAAATCAGATCAATGGATGGAATGACCGTCACCAAAAATGAAAATTTCTAAAACAGAGGGAATGTCTGTTTTTCCTTTCCAAAGTCCAATCGTTCATCCCCACTTGGAGCAACAGAGCCTGGGGTTTTGAGTCACCCATGCGGACGGTGCTCAGTGGGTGAGGGGATGGGGCCACGTGACGCCGGCCGGGAGTCAGGGGTCACGGTGCTTGGTCCCCATGGCCAACTACCATCCCTCTTATGTACCTCCCTAAAAACTGAGGCCAAAGGTGGGCACGCACACTCCTGGCATGAGTTACACTGACACAGAAGATGCAAACGGAGATAATTCACCATACACTCTTGCACCGACCACGTGAGAGCTGACCAGGGCAATGGGGACGCCACAGTTCCCTGACGCAGGCGGACACCTGCGCCTTGGGCCTCTAGCACAATCTCTCCACGTCTCCTTGCCTCCTCCCCGCCGGAGAGCACTCCTTACCTGGCCCCAGCTTGGAGATAGCGTATAAAAGATCATAATTTATGACGGGGGTGGCGTCTTCCACTTGTTTCCAGCCAACGGGCGGAGAGGCAGGAGGAGAGATCAGAAACTGCTTGTCTGGATTGGGGGGAGCCAGGTGTGAGCTCCCTATGTGCAAAGTCTGAGGACAGAAATGAACACAGGTGGATGTTTTGCAAGGGAGGAACGGAAGCAACGCGACGGCTCACGGAAGACAGGAGCGGAAGGACGAATGGACGACCGGGCAACGGAATGGGTGCGATTCAAGGATTAATGGGAAAATGGTCTCTAAGGGGAGGACAAAAGGATGTCTGAACTCTGGTTATGGTGCACACGTGATTAGAGCCCCCTCCCAGGCCTGGGAGGAACTCAGAGGCACGGGGACCGCATGCGATTATGTTTGAACTAGACTGACGGAAAATTAAGAGATAATTTATGTATAAATGGAAAAACTGCCGTTCAGGTCAGAAGGGATCTAGAAAGCCCTTTCTCATCGTATCAGAGACAAAACTGAAGCTCCGAAAGGCTTGATAATGGCTCTAAGGTGATTTTTTTATGGGGGCAGAGACAAGGCGGAGGGAACGCAGGATCCTCGCCCACCACACTCTCTGGCTCCCCCACGCTGTGGCAGCCCTGAAATTCCCTCCCTCTGGGGCTCTGAGTCAGATGCCAAAAGCGAGGAAGGAAAAAACATCCACCTTCCAGGAGATAAAAAATAATAATAAGGAAAAATAACCTATCCTAGTTTGGGCTTCAAAGTTATACCAGTGATTACTTCAAAATCTTACCAGTTTGGGTTTTCTTTATACTTTAAGATACACTCCCCCCCCCCAAAAAAAATTTCACAATGTAATTCTTTAATAATCAGAAAAAGTCGTGGAGGGATTAAATTATTTATATGGAACCCACCAAATGCGGGAATGTACTCACAACTGAGGAGCCAAGGTCAAAGCCTGCGCCTCGTACCACCACTAGGGGGCAGGGCAGGGCCTCCCAGCTCTAATTTACAGGTTTGCCTTTCCTCGCCGTCAGGCCACCTCCCCAGCGGGTCTGCTCCCACGCTGGCGTGGGGGGCTCCGAGCCCCGATGGAGCAGCTTTTCAGAAGCTCCTTCCCTTGCCCTGCCAGCCTGTTAGATCCCTGCTATATCGTCAAATGGAACGTGGTGGGCTAACTTGAAGGTGAACCACCTATCATGGGAGGTGGAGGTGTGTGTGTGTGTGTGTGTGGGTGTGTGTGTGTGGGGGGGGGTGGCTGGAAGGCCGCTGGGCCGGAGAAAAAGCGACCCCACTCACAGCCCCCGGCCCCTACTCTTGTGAGTGCGCTGGGGCCAGGATTCCTGCTACCAGGAGGGTTTCTGACTGTTTGCTACCTGACTGGTTAACTCATGTGTTTTCCTTTCGAGCCGGGCCTGGCTGCCCTGTGCTGATGTGTGTGCATGGTCGGTCACCTTGCGGATGACCAGCTAGCTGTGCACTAAGTGAGGAAGCTGCTGGGAACCT